AGGGCCTGCGACGCCTCAGATCCGCGGCGGGCACATCCTGCTGCTCTCCTGACAATGGCTGGAGGCTCGGCCAGCTCTGTGTGTTGGCGCTCTGACATGCAGTACCAGGTGCCCCTCAATGTGACTCTCATGGTGCCCCTGGGCAAGGCTTTTGAATTGGTCTTCGTGAGCCTGCGCTTCTGCTCAGCACCCCCAGCATCGGTGGCCCTGCTTAAGTCCCAGGACCATGGCCGCAACTGGGCTCCACTGGGCTTCTTCTCCTCCCACTGTGTCCTGGACTATGGGCGTCCACCTGCCCCATCGGATGGTCCCGCTGGCCCAGGGCCTGAAGCCCTGTGCTTCCCTGCACCCCAGGCCCAGCCTGATGGTGGTGGCCTTATGGCCTTCAGTGTACAAGATGGCAGTCCACCAGGCCTGGATCTGGACAGCAGCCCAGTGCTCCAAGACTGGGTGACCGCCACGGATATCCGTATATTGCTCACAAGGCCTGCTATGCGAGGGGATACCAGAGACTCGGATGCAATAGTTCCTTATTCCTACTCAGCCACTGAACTGCAGGTGGGCGGGCGCTGCAAGTGCAATGGGCATGCTTCACGGTGCCTGCTGGATGCTCAGGGCCACCTGATCTGCGACTGCCGACATGGCACAGAGGGCCCTGACTGCGGCCGCTGCAAGCCCTTCTACTGCGACAGGCCATGGCAGCGGGCCACGGCCAGGGAAGCCCACGCCTGCCTTGGTGAGGCCTTTGAGGGTGGCCTGGGGACCTCAGACCAGGCAGGCCAGCCCCTGACCCATTCCTCCCTGCAGCTTGTTCCTGCAATGGCCATGCCCGCCGCTGCCGTTTCAACATGGAGTTGTACCGGCTGTCTGGCCGCCGTAGTGGAGGAGTCTGTCTCAATTGCCGGCACAATACTGCTGGTCGTCACTGCCACTACTGCCGCGAGGGCTTCTATCGTGACCCAGGCCGTGCCCTGAGTGACCGCCGTGCTTGCAGAGGTGAGCCTGCCACCTGCATGCTGTCACACTGGTTTCCCAGAACCCCAGGTGAACTTCTGACCAAGTCTTTCCCATCTCTGCCCCCAGCTTGTGACTGTCACCCTGTTGGTGCTGCTGGCAAAACCTGCAACCAGACCACAGGACAATGTCCCTGCAAGGATGGTGTCACTGGCCTCACCTGCAACCGCTGTGCGCCTGGCTTCCAGCAGAGCCGCTCACCTGTAGCACCCTGTGTTAGTGAGTGACCCTAGCTTGCCTCAGCCATCTCAGCTCCTGGTTGTGGCCTGTCTGTCTCTTGAGGCCTGAAGATTGCCCTGCACCCCCATCACAGTCCATTTTCCCACCTTCTCTGCAGAGACACCCATCCCTGGACCCACTGAGGAGAGCAGCCCTGTGGAGCCACAGGGTGAGTGGACAGAGACCAGGGTTCCAGACTGGTATGATCTTCGGGAGGGATCTATGAGCTCAACCAGGAGAGGGGGTGGGGAGAGGCGCCTGGGATCTGCCAGCCTCCTTCCCTCCTCCCTAGACTGCGAGTCCCACTGCAGACCAGCCCATGGCAGCTACCGAATCAGCCTGAAGAAATTCTGCCGTAAGGACTATGGTAGGCTGCCCCAGGCCCCCAACCTCAGGCCCTTCCCCTTCCTTCTCTCAACTTTTCCCTACTCTTGCTGGGCCACAACGTCCATCCGTCCTCCAGCTCCCCCACTGCCGCTGACCCTGCCCTCTCCCCTTTCCCCACCCTCGTTTGTGTCCTCCGCGTCCTGGGTGGGAGTCCTCCTTGTGGCCCCCCTAACCTTATCCGCCCCCCCCCCGAGCCTGCCTCCTCTTGCC